GGAATGGGGAACGGGGAATGGGGAACGGGGAATGGGGAACGGGGAACGGAGAACGAAGAACGGGGAACGGGGAACGGGGAACGGGTATACAGCGGTAACCCATCTGAGAATTCAAAATGGTGGGGTAAACGATGTTTACAAACACTGTTTTTATCGCTACGTCGCCGTTTGCAACGAAATTAGACGACTCGCTTTTATTTAACTATTGCCCAGGCGAAGCCATGAAGCCTAGTATTACGAGGCGAGAATTCGAAGTCAACGTTTCTGCAATGGCTGCCACCATTTGTTCTGACGTCTCTCTTTGTTTTTCCTTCCTGAAATCTGCATCTTTGGGCAGAGTTTGGGTATGTTGGTTGTTTCCATTGCCCAACAGCATTTTTTGCTGATAAGTAGCAAGGAGGTAATATCTTAGATTAACAGAAATGAGCTAGGAAACGTAATAACCAGCCTAGTTATTAAAATTACTACATGCAGATATCTGCTTACCTTACCGCAAAATAACATCAGGAACACATCTTTGTATCGACCCATAAACTTCCATGTAAAGAATAGAGAAATTAAACATTGACAGAACTTTTAATAACATTTAATTTAACAGGAAAACATGAGTTATGTCTTCAAGAAGGTAGGTGTATGAATTTACATTCATGCTAATGCTTACAATAATAGTTACACCGCATTGATCATATTCAAGAGAAAGTGATTCCCATAATGGGCGTGAAAGTCATTCAGCTGTTTGCTTTACAACATTATTGATATTGCTAGGTTGTAACGGTGAAGATATTGGAGGTAAAATTCATTACCTTGCAGTACAATTACTCTATGAATCTAAGAATAAATGCCGCGCGCTTGTAGTTCTGAGTTGATTGTTCAAATGTTGTGCATGAATTGTAAGATACTCACCTCTCCGAGGATTTGATTTCTATGCAACCTGCAATGTGTGCCAGACAAAAACTAAATGTATGAGGCACTCAAGATTTCAAAGTAAAATCCTTCAATAAAACCTACACTTACCGTCCATGCTTTTTGCTCCGACGATCGCGTTCGAAGAGCACGTACTCAAAACTAGTTGCCAGACCCTTTTAGTTCCCTTTACTCCGCCCGAGGATCTGCCTTTCCCGCATCCGTCTGGTCGGTCACGAACGTGCCTGCAGCCGATGTCAACGTGGACAACCTTTTTAATCTTCGCTCACGAAGTCAAGCCAACAGACTTTGCCATTTTGAATTCTCAGGCGGGTTACCGCTGTACACCCGTTCCCCGTTCCCCGTTCCCCGTTCCCCGTTCCCCGCTACTAGTTTTAGTAACATCCTTCATTTAATACTGGTAACTATAAACATCTTCCGTAATTGAGTGGGCCGCTCGATGTTGGCGAAACATTGATGCTCAAAGAAGATCAACATTTGCAAAGGTTCAATAGCGTTTAATATTGTATCTACTTTAGTAGATGGCAACAATTTGGGCAAAATATTACTCTTACGAGAAAAAACGAAAGTTGGACAGATGGCGAAAAAAGTCCCGTTGAAGCTTGAAACTGTTTCATCACGATCATGAATAACTCATACACGTGAAGTCCTTTCAGAGAACTTAAAAATTTAAGGATTTCTACTTTAAGCACGTTGAAAAATCACTGTTTTCATCGTAACAAACTTAATACAGAGAAGGTTTGAACATTCAGTTACCTTTGAAAAACTCTTCCATTTAGTAAAAATTTGTCTAGCACCTTCCAGATGTGTAAGTTCCCAGCACATGCCACTTTAATTTATCGCGTGAATGATCTGCTTTAACTGAGTAAACACGTCTTGGATAGTTCTATTTGAATTCGAGGGAAATAATTAAGATTACGAACGAGTTCCAAAAAAAAACTTCCATTTTGTAAAAATTTGTCTAGCACCTTCCAGATGTGTAAGTTCCCAGCACATGTCGCTTTAATTTATCGCGTGAATGATCTGCTTTAAACGAGTAAACACGTCTTGGATAGTTCCATTTGAATTCGAGGGAAATAGTTAAGAATACGAAAGAGTTCCGAAAAAAAAAACTGTCCAATCACTCTGGTGCTTCTCCTTAGGCCTCAAAAAGATAAAACGTTATTTTGCATAAGCACCCAGGGAAGTCCATTTGTTTAATTACTATGCAAATTTTACGGAATAGTCATACCGCTGTTGTGCGTGAGTTGTAGTTTGGGAAGGGAGGAAAATTCAAATTTCCTACCTTTGCTTTCCGTGCCCAATTCCCAAAATTGCAATAATTCAATGATTTACGATGAGTGGTATAAAATATTTTTTTTAAAACACCTCCCATATCATGACCAGATTTTACATCAATATTTAGCCGATAAAAAATGAAAACTTTAATCTTTTTAAAATAGTTTTCAGTAAGCCCAGAGTAGTAAGGGTTGGGGGGGGTGGGGGTGGGGAAGCGGGGCGCATAAAACATAGTTTTACCTGCGTGTTTTCTGAATCAAATAATGCATCTTCATCGTATTCTATTGACAGGAATTACTACGTTAGTTCTGAACTGTCGCCCACGGATTGCTCAACTAAAGCTCAAATTAAGCAGATAATAAATCCATTAGGGTTTACAGTCTTATATTTTTCACTTCGTTTTGTTTTTTTTGTACTCTTTATAGAAAAGTGCTCTAAGTGATCTACCTGCAGTACAACTGTACCATGGATTTCTAGCTAGGCACGTGTTGGAAACCTTTTATCCAATTGGTTAAATCTGCACTTGACATGCAATTATGCGACGATTGATCTTTATTCTCGTAGACGCGCAATGACAGGTGATAGACGGTTTTCTTAGCGATTCTTACTAATGCTTTCCTTTCATTTAAAATTTGCATTTACAAAATCGCTTGTGCTATTTTAGTTTTGAGCCGTGGAGTAATTAAATGTCGTAAGCGATTCGCCTCTATCGACTGCGAGACCAAAGAGATAGCTTTCGACAGGCCAACACGGTCGACGGCCGGTGAGCTACGGTCAGTTGTCAAACACGAAAGCGACCAGAGAAATTTTTACTGAATACTTCAAAATCGATTGAGAGGCCTGATAGTTGAATATGCAACCAGAAGACACTTCCTCACAAACTGCAATGCTTCTATAAAGAGGCAAACAAACAAAACAGTGATATGGAATTTTTCGCAGCAGCACGAAATCTCACAACAGTTTCTCCTTCGATGGGCCCAACCAGAGATAGTGCTTGTTTTCATCTTCCAGATCCACAGTTTGACGCATTTTACCATCGTAGAACCGCCAACTTAGTAACAGCTACAGTGAATGTCATTTTATCGCCGTTCGCTGTGGCAGCTAATTTCCTGATCCTCTTCATTATCAGTAAACTGTCTTCTCTCCATACGCCATCGAACTTACTAATAGCATGCTTAGCCATATCAGATATTCTCGTGGGCCTCGTTGTGCAACCCAGTTATGTTGCGTACAGACTTCTAGAAAACCAGTATGGATTTGTCCCTTGTTCCGTTAGGATGTTGTACTCTACAGGATTTTACGTGTGTTATGGCGTTTCATTTATGACATTGTGCACTATCGGATGCGAGAGATTACTTGCACTGCTATGCCATCTCCGATACCTTGAAATCGTCTGCCGGGATCGTGTAGTGAAGGTAGTTTTATTAATATGGTTTGTTAACATATCCTTAACTTTTCTACAATGGGCTCATAACGACACTTTTAGAGCAATTCATCTTGGATTGTGGGTTTTATCACTTCTCATTGCGGTTGCCACCCAATGCAGAATTATTCCTATCATTCGACATCACCAGGGGCAAATTCGAAATTTGAACCCAACACATTGCAGCAGTCGCCAAATGCAAATTAAGCTCGCGATGAACATTGCATCCATATTAACAATATATTTTGCGCTCAACCTGCCAGTGCTTGTTATCGCTATATATCACCAAGTAGTGACCAAACAGATATCGAGTTACAACCTATACAGTTGGGCTGAGACGGTGGCGTTCACAAATTCATCTTTTAATCCACTGGTGTGCCTGTGGAGAGTGAGTTCCATTCGAAATGGAATAACAGGTCTAAGAATTTGGAGGAGATTGCAGCTGGGAAGACGTAGATTAAGAAACGTCAAGACACCTGGGGCGATACCGAAAGACCAGGACCTTGACTTGGTCAGATTTCGACACATTACGGCTCCTTGAGCGTTTAAGCACCGACGTCAGTCCATATGACCACGTGGCAATGTGCCAATATGAACTTAACCCTTTGCACCCTGAGATCAGAATGCAACTTCTCCATACTGTTCTATAAACATTCCCTAAGGTGCTAAAAAGGAGAATTTGTTTAACAATCAAGA